ACAGACAGACAGACAGACAGACAGACAGACAGACAGACAGACAGACAGACAGACAGACAGACAGAGAGTTGTTAAACGGCCTCACAGTGTGAATTTTCTGTATTCTGATTCGTTTGTTCAGTGATAATTCTTTATTAAGTTTACATCACATAAAGCCTTCCAGAGATTAGGCGCTAGGCTATATTAATATTATATCATCATTCTTCGAATGCTTCGAGTTTCTGGACGTACGGACGTTTTTGTGCACCCCCCCCCCGTGAAAGAGAAAGACAATCGTTTGAAAGTTGTTATCTCCCCATACACCTACCCCCCCCCCCCCCCCCCTCCCGCCCCCTCCCATATTCCATTGTTTCTTCCCCAGGTACCAACGTCATCGTCAATACTGCACATCCGGGTTTCATCCACACAGACATCGCACGAGACTTTCCTTTCTACCATTCTCGGATTGTTCAACTACTTAATAGCCCGTTTAATTTCCTTCTGTTTCGGACTCCGTTCCTTGGAGCTCAGCCAACCCTTAGACTTGCCCTGGACTCAAGCCTTGCCAATGTCTCGGGGAAATATTTCGGGTAGGATATTGAATGTAAAATGTAGGTGCAAATGTGGAAGTGGCGCTAAAAATATAAATACTCCCGAACTTGCAAGACAGACTGAATTTTTATTGGTATGGTCCCAACACAATGGTCCTTAACGACAAAGGCGGGGAAATTCGATTAGAGATGGAAAGCAACAAAATTTGGACAGATAAAGGGGAGGAGAAACTGGATAAGCGTAAATCTAGAGGCTTGCGACAATAGAATAGTAAATGTATAATGGCATAATTATGCCTCATGCCACTGTGATTAGTCATCAGGTTTGAACACTCTGTACTCGTCATAAGTCATAAACCCACCTTGGGTTAATTTTAGAGTAAAGGGAGACCATTTTACCTGTTGCGGGCCTGAACAGTTTTTGGGACACCTGAATAGACATAAAGGTCTTGAACATCTTGCTCTCACTGGTAAAATTGAAGGAAAACGAGGCAGGGGTTGGCTAAGAGCAATCTACTTAGGGAACCTAAACAAATAGGTGACGGGGAAAGACAGGCGCGGTTCGTCCATAGATCTAGAGCACGGTCGTGCAGTGCCGCCCACAATTTTCCAATATTCTATTACGTAAAACACCCACAAAAATAAAATAAAGGAAGCAAGAAACAAACACTAGCCAAATATTATATCAAAACAAAGGTCCTCACTGGCGCCATAGCTGTCATTTCTATGTTTATAGCGCCGTAAAACATCTACTATGCCATGCCAAAGTCCGCGCGCTATAGCTAAACAGAAAAGGATATTCAACGGTGTAACCTGACCTATAAATCCCTCTTGGGGATAACCCAAGCGATGGTGACAGTCGTAGCGAGTTTGGCGGTACATTAATATTAATAAGCCGGCACATCTCAAATGTGCTCCTGCCGAATAGTGCCGAAACATAGCCCACAGTAGGCAATCTAAAAATAAACACGATAGACCCTACGCCGCCCTACGCTATTCTTTGCCAATATTATGTGAGCCCCGGAGCAATCCAGCGGAGTGTTCAAGTGAATTGTGATCGGTTCATTGTTTTGTTTTTTTGCCACTAGCCTATTGTAAGTGACTCTGTAACCGTGAACCTGAGGGAGGTGAACGTGACCGTCCTATGAGTTGTGCCTTTGCATGGTTTTGTACAGGAGTAGTGAAAGTTATTACATATACTTGAGGGTTCAGTTCCAATACAAGATGAACGAAATTAATGTTTAGGTAACAAACACATTTAGTACTAGAAATCAAAGCGACAAGTAAAAAGAAGGAAAAATAAAAGCACAAGGCCCTCCCTCACAAACCGAAAGATCCTAAAATTATACACCATCTCATTTATTATGCCCTTGACTATCTTCAGCATGCGATAACTTAATTATTATTGTGCACGCCCACTTTTTAGCCCCACGAGCCGCCCCTGGGGAAAGATCAGGGAAACGTAGCTTTTTTTAGGAGCATCCGAGCAAAGGAATGAATGGATAACCATGATCGCTGATGTCTGTCGCAGATATGGCACTGGATGATGATGGGCCTAAACATAGGTCACCGTAGTTTCTCCCTTTGGGCTAAGATCCCGTTCGCCTAAGAGTAAGATCCCACATTTTCCTTGCTCCCGAGCACTGGTATCTTAGGCGGAGACTACTGTATACAGTCGGGCCTGCTCTGGTGGCTACCTTCGTAAGGCGGGAGCATTACAAATTACACTTTCGAACTTTATTTTTCAAAATATGACAGTTGCGAACCTATTCAATTTTGAGCAAATTTTAACAATACACTTGCGAACTTATTATCGTGATTGAAAAAAAAAATAAAGCATTGCATATGCGAACCTAACGATTTTTAATCGAGTTGTACTCGTACTCGTAAGGCATAAGATAGTTATTTTGTTTCAACTACCGTATGTGTATATCCATCGTGTTGTTGAGTTGCAGTCGCAATGTGACGTAGTTGGAAGTATGAAGGGGCATAGTGGTTTATTTAGCCTCGGCTTTTCAGTTAGCACCAGCACTAGTTTTAAGTACGGAAACCAGAATATCAAAATTATTTTGCACAAACAGTCACTGGTACAAACAACCGCTTCCCATCTCCCCCCGTGCGTCGTTTTTACATTATGATGGCACTGAATAAGAAGAGAGCCATTTGATTAATAATAACATGGTCGCCTTTCTCCTCGACAGTAGGTGGCCATCTTAGACAGTTTCCACTATACACATTATATACATACATATATATATA